CTATAATCTATAAGTATGGCGCTGCTTCAAATGTGCTGAACCATAAATCAAAACCTACATTTACGTTTTTTTTACGTGATGTTTTAAGAATTACACTATATCCTATTTATTTCACGTCATACGCTGTTGTTGTTTTATATAGTTAATATCTTAATTATATATTATCTGTTAGTCTGTGAATGCTCTGACGTATCTAGCCCAACACATTATGGTACCTTTTACTACTTACTAATAACTTGAGAGCTGTACACATTAAAACAAAAGCACAAATTAACTTTAAGTTGACCTACCTTTTGAGTTTTCTTCCTTTGTATCAACCGCTCCACACAGTACACTCCTGGAAGGGTTACGGTGTTGGTAAATCTGGAAGATCGGTCGCAGCTAAGTTGTTCTCCTTCATGTAGTTTCTTCCAGTCCGTGTGATTGCGTGCCCTCAAATCCATTCTCACTTATATATCGTATCGTTAGTAATTGCTAAGATAACAAGACGATTACCAAAATGACCGATAGCGTACGCAACAGGCACATGCATGATTTTTTATGCATCGCGCTTGCTTTTATACATACCTTTGACACACTGAGGTGAAGTGTCATATTGACAGCAATCTCTCAAATACGTACAACAAACCATGCCTTAAAATTTAAATCTTATCGTCATGTGACGAATGTAGCATTCTTTATTTTCTGTTTAAATGTTAGTCAACTGAAAACATGTTATTTTTAGTACAGATATATATTGGAAAATGTGTCCATTATTTTAATACGTGAAAGGATAAAACTACTTAAAACTTTTTTCAGTGATTTAGTTTACGATACTTATTTTACTGAACTATTATTTTTGGGTATGAACAAGTATAAAGTTTTAGATCTTGACATATGGATAGATATCAACTCGAATCCTAATATTCATACCGTGTTCCTTTCTATGTATTATACACGAGAGACAGGACGACGCCTCCCCCCAAATATAGGAAATGTTGTTAACAATAAGAAAATGTTAAGAAAGGCAAAAAAAATAATTACAAATTTTGCCAGTTAAATAACAAAGATTGACTTAAATTCCAATGCAGCTACGGATACTTTCGATATTTCCTCATCCCGATTAAATGTTATCTAACACAAATCCCTTCATTAATGTCCGGTCTTTCACAATGAGCTTAACGGTTTAACACCTGTTACATTGGGGAAACAAAAGATAAGGCAAGTAAAGGAAAGAGTCACTCTACACGTGTGATTACAGGACGTTTCTCCCTCTCTTATCTGCTCAAATGGCTTAATTAAATTGCATTAGTTTATCAAAACAATGTAATTAAAGGATATCCGATAGTTTTTGCAGGCAAAATATAATTTGTTCCGTAATAGAAACTAATTCGGATGGAGGTTTCTTACAGTTTAAGAATTGTATATAACCCAAAAATTTCTTTGAAATACAAACCAAAACAATTGCTCCTTCTTTGTCAATACATTCAATCATTACAACATATTGTTATTCCATGACGGTGATGTTATCATTTGATAGAAATCCGTATCTAAACAAACAACAACAGTTTAACAAGTATTTGCGTCATACAACACGATATCTGTTAAACATATCGGATCATTACGGTTACATTTATAAATCATTAACATGTTTATAACCTTACAATTCGTAAAATAATATACCACTGAGTCAAGAATTGTTTATATAATTTTCAATAAGTAAAGTAGGGAATTTTGAATAGAATTGCGCCATAACGACAAATAATTAAACACAGAGAGTACACTCATGACACGAAGCACCTGAAGACAGACATATAGATATATATGACCCCTATTGACCGCTTGTGCCCAGGTCCAAGGGAGCTAACCAGCCGGTGCCATAACTAACTGGGAAATATAGCAATCTCGAAAAATGTGTGTCATCTTTAAGCCTTTGTGGAAGAAACTTAGCATCCATATTTTTTGCTAAGTTTTGGAATAGTATCTGAGAAAGGTTTGATGAATAAGTAGATATGCGCGGAGTATATCTATGTATTATACTTAACAAGTTATACAGTGTCAAACTTTGTGATAAATCTGACAATTCTTCTTTCATTATGGTAACAGCAAAGAATAACAACCCTCTACATTCGTTTCAAGATGGAAGCCATTTACGTCCAAGTTAAAAATATATAGAAAAATTCTTTAGAAAGCTTACGGTAAGTAGAATACATACATAGGCGGGGAGATACTGTAACTTCTGTCTATTCTATTTTAAAAATTAAAAAAGAACCTAGTCCTTCTTTGCTATCATATATTGCACGCTCCGTTGAACAGGAGGCACAGCAGGCGACAGGCGTCCAATTCTTGCACATGATTCAACTCGTGTCGACTAAGACACGGATATTTTAGCAATCGTTAAACTTCGAATGCGTTTAGAACATTGCACTGACAATTTGATAATACTGCTACATTTACAACAGAATTATCTTCAGAGACAATGAGGCGTAATTATTCAAAAGCCTATCCCATTTGCATTTAGCTGTTCCCTGCACACTCTGACACATGTGACTGTAGCTCTGCCTTAAATAACTGGTAAAACTGCCTTCCTTTGCTTTTCCCTTCAAATCAAAGTGGACACCTAATTTCTCTTAAGCACGGAATAACCTGTCTTCAAAACGGCCGTCGTGTTGTAGGGACTATATGCGTCAGGATCTGGCGTTACCCGGTTTACATTGCTCTTATGCAATATCACTACTCCATTGCTGCCGGAGATATAATGTAGGGCAGCGGAATAAGCCGAGTGACCCCGAGTGGTCACGGCTACTGAAAATGTCACAACAGCCACAATCTGACACTGTCTTCACGACAGTGGTTTAGGTTTTAGTTTAATTTATTAATTCTCGAATCTGTGTCACATATCTACGGTTGGATAACCAAGCTTACACAATATGTCTACACAGTGTCGGTATCAGATGGCCGGTCTATAAGTCCCCACGCTGATACAGGACCTATTTTTTTTCTTCTGCGAAATTCGATACATGTTGATAAAAGGTTTGTGACGCACGTTTTTTGTCGACATAAACGGAACAGATTAACTAGGTGACTAAAGTACTCACAGAAATGAAAAAAAACCCTGTTTTTCTCAATTTAAAAATCGACACAAAGCGTTACGTAGCTGTAAATACGAAATAACAAAACAACTCGAAAAGTACTAGTCTGGACTTGCTAGTTTGATCTCAGTGAACAATACAAAATGTACTTTACAGGAGGTAATTTGTCGGCACTTTCAACATTCAAAAATAAAACTAAGTCCAAATTGACATAGCAGAAACAGACTATAGGCATTATGCATCTGTTCTCACCTGTCGTCAAGGTGTCATAGGTCACCTTGATCTACTTACACCTGGTTATGCCCTGTTTCACAATAGTCTGTTTTATTCACATTTTTACACACTTTTACGTGTAAAAAGGCATAAAAAACATTTGATACGCTGTATTTGTGCCACGGCCCAATTAGTACTAATTTAGTTGTTTGAATATTTACATATTTTGTATATTAACTGCATTTATTTAAGATCTGAGGTCGAAAAAACAGTTTTTTTTCATTTCCGTGAGTAATTTAGGGTCGCAGTCACAAATGTCCATCAGCACAGGGTGAAGGTCGTGCACTCGTGTGGTTTCATTGTGGTCGTATGTATATGACCTTGACCTTGAGTATGTCTGGAGTGACATAAAAGGTTACCTATTTCTGGGATACCGTTCCATAGCAATGAACCCTGTTGGCATCAAAGCAGTAACTACTACAGGCATCAACATGAACTAAATTATTTTTAAAACTAACAAATCCTAATTGTACAGACTTTTAACAGTTTATAGGGACAGACCATTTTTTTAGCCGGGGAGGGGGTATGGGGACTGGCTACAGCTGCGAAAGCAGATTTTAATAACATTTTAACTATGCGCCTAAATATAATAATAAAGGTAAATAACGTCTTGTCACAATGACATTGTTGGGCAGACAATTTCTTTTTTAACGGTCAAAAGCATAATTATTGTTCTCAAGCATTTACTGGGATTATCTTTTTTCGATAATAAATTGTTAAAGTTGAACGTTTTACTCTTACAGTTATGTTTTACAGATAAACAAAACCACATTCATTACAAAGACTACATATGTGTTGCATTTTACAAGGAGCGAGCCTTAGTGCTAATACAAGAGTGCTGGTAAGCGTTGTATTCACAAGCACATAACATTGTCACCATAGACAGCTTATTTTAATTGTAACATTTCAGTTTGCGGCGTATTGCCGGCATATATATTGTCATCAAGCTGTGTTAGTCTTAGGTTTTATTTACATATTCCATTTGTTTGATCTACATATTTCATTTGTTTGATCTACGGAGAAATACAACAACAATTTCCAGAGATTATTTTTCTCATGCTGCAGTTTTTTTCAAATTTCAAACTGAAAGTGCATTTGTGACAAAAATGCAGGAGGCGTTTTAACAGAACTGCCCGGAAAATGTATTCTAAATACTCAATACCAATCAATTCGTAAATTGTTCGTTCCGACGTCGACTCTAGATATATCCAATGTTTGAAACCATAAACTACGATACCAATTTCAAAAAATTATTTTTCATTTGCATATGCAAATGTGACAAAGCAATAAGTGTATGTAAACGATGAACATTCATAAGCCCATAGACTAACATTAAGTCCCAGAAATACAGTTATTTTATTTGAAAATATGTATCTACAAAATATAAAATAACATCCAAATGGAGCCCAGAACAATGCTCAGTTTGTGAGGGGATCTAGACTTGCCAAATCGTTCTAGGCTTGAGTTGGCCTTATTTCTCAATTTATTCTCAAGGGTTTGGGACTTATAAGCCCACTATACAATGAGCTATACATACTCCCTGATAACAGAGGACCGGTATGCTAAAAATATAGAAAGAGTCCATCATTTTTAACTTTACATGAATAGCTGTGCGTGACATCGAGGGCTGAATAGAATAACACCTTCTATACTCACTCAATAATAACCCCGAATATCAGGCCAAGGATGATCAGTAGGCTGAAACACGAAAAGGCGATGTGTATCGTGTTACTGTTTGAGGACGTGATACAAATAATAACAACGTGGTGAATAGGAGAATATATCTGACTGTGGACCGTAACGCCACTTTGAACAGCATGTAAGTTATAACATGGCTTGTCAGCTTCATTTAGGAGAAAGTAAAGCAGGTCTGTGGTTAAGCTCAAGAGTACAGTGTAGACAAACATAATCATGGCGAATCTGGCAACCAAACCCACGACCAATAGATCCTGGTACGCCTGAGGGAGATAACTCTGCTCAAGCGGATGCCATGTTTAAGATTGACTTGTAATCACCTGACCGATTTTATCAAGCATAAATCCAAGATATTCATGCTTACCAAGACTCCGGAATCTTTGATGATAGGAAATGAGCATGGTGGAATGCTGCAAGAAGAGTTTTATTGTTATCAGAGATCACATGGACGCCGTGAAGATCCGGGGTAGAATAGGTCTTCAGCAACCCATGCTTGCAGTTAAAGGCGACTGTGCTTGTCGTAAGAGGCAACTAACGGGATCGGGTGGTCAGGCTCGCTGACTTAGGTTGATGCATCATGCCATCGAGAGTTGTTTTACGCCGCACTCATCAATATTCCAGCGTTATGACAGGCGGCCCGTAAATTATCGAGTCAGGATCAGACAAACGTGTGATTGGATGCACGGGCAACCATCCACGCAATTGCGTTATAATGATACGCACTCAACAAAGTCAGAGAGCCATAGGCAGCTTGGGGTCTATTCTAACCCGAAATCACCACGGTAACATACCAAATAAGTTGTCATATGCCATAGGATATAGCACATTTTAAACACATCTATACCGAAAATACCATTAAGTTCTAATATACTATAGATTGACGGAGTAAGTGAGGTTTTACGTCGCTTTTAGCAATATCCAAGCCATATCACAGCGGGAGACACAGGAAATGGGCTTAACACATTGTACCCATGTGGGGAATGGAACCCGGGTCTTCTGCGTGGCGAACGAACGCTTTACCCACTAGGCTACCCCGCCGTCCCTACTAGAAGAATAATTTTACCGAATACATGTAACACACTAGAAAAGGTACTTATATACCACAGAATAATGCGAACTGTAATACATGTATTATACCAGTAAACGTATTAATATACCATAGAATAAAGCAAATTGTTGTTAAATCGATTACATGAAATATACCACTATAGATAATAATCAGACTCACCAACTTTGCTTAGGGCCGCTAGTATCACCACGATGGTATAAATCAGGGGCTCTCTCACATTCGCAAACAGGACACCGGCGATTTCAATGCCATGGTGTTCACCGTGGCCGGTGTCCTTGTCATGGTTATTGTCTGTCGTGTTGTGAAGCCCACGTGTGCCGGACGGCTCCGATGTGTTCACATTGGAAGATGATACGGCAAATACCATGCAGGAAAATATGCACAAGGACACAGTTGATGCACACGCCATGTTTAAATCCGTGCCGAACAGTTTCAAACCACCTTCCTTTCCAGGTTGGCTTGACGGACCGGCAGTGTTCAGGAGTTAGTCTTGAAAAAAATATAGATCCGTGTTTATTATGATATATATAACAAAGTGGTCGCAGTGGTGGATTCGGTAAATATACCCACATATACATGTCATGAGTATACGGGGCTCGATTTAGCTGTCTCTCTCTATATATAAATAGAATGCACAAGTTCAACCTTTTATTGGAAAATGCAACCTGATATTATTGTCCACATGCACCAAGTGCATGTCAACAAATCTAGACTTTATTTGCCACATCACGTAACCCTATAATTTGTCATGCCTTCTTGACATGACGTCATCAAACTGTGGGTACTTCAAGATTATGTACTGTACATTGAGCTTGATCTGTGACTGAAGCTGACCACCGTAACACGTTATAAATTATGATGATACAATTATCCAAGTAATGATAATCATAATGCATTATATATGTAAAACTATCAATAGTCAGGTATTTACAGAATAACAATATAATAGATTGTACTAAAGTTTGCCAAAGACCTATACTGCCATATAATGTATCAAAAATAAACAATAAAAAGGGAAGCAAGGTATTTTATGAAGCCCTATTAAACCCTAAGTTTATAAAACATAAGTGCTACAGTAAATGGGAGGATTTTCTTGAAAAACAGTATACAGATACAGAGAGGACAAACTTTCACCTTATGGCAAAAAGAGGGACAAAGTTCTGAATTAAGATGGTTTCAGTTTAAAGTTATACACAATACTATGAGTACTAACTGTTATTTATTTAAAACTGGATATGTTGAATCGCCAGTTTGTTCATTATGTAATGAACCATCTGAAACAATTACTCATGTATTTTGTAATTGTCACTATGCTGTTGATGTATGGACGATACTTTCAGGTTGGCTTGGATACTACACAGAAGGCAGAGTTATTTTAGTAATGAACACATACTGTTTAGATTTGAAGAGAAGAATAACAATTCACTCAATGCAGTAATTATGGTAACAAAATCTATGCTGTACACATTTAATAGAAAAAAAGTCAAACCAATCTTTTCACTATTTCAAAAAGAAATGCTTCGATATTATGAAATTACAAAATGTATTGCATATTCAAATTGTAATTATGCAAGTTTCCATGCCTTCTGGTCTTCTCTACATGTGTTATTTAGAAACTCTGTATAACTATGATATCTGATCTGTCCATGCTACAAACATGCCAATAATGTCACAATAAATCCATGCACACTCTATGTTTGATATGGAAATGTAAAATATGATGGAATAAAAAAAAAAATAATAATAATAATAATGCATTATATGATGGTTGCCATTGATAACATTGCCACATAAGTATTGCAACAGTAATAACGTATCAAATAGTATGACACAGTCAACAGAGATCAGAGATTTTTTTATATTTAGATACATTCATGGAACCAGGGTGCAGCCTGGTGCAACTAGCTTTTCATGTCAACATGCACGTGGTGCAAGTTAAATAAAGTTCCTTAAATCGAGCCCTGTATATATAGAATACTAAACCGTCTCTCCTAAGTGTACAGCTTTATGTTTATAAAACGGGTGATCTCTTCACGGGCAAGTAATAAATTAGGATTGTATGATAGTGTGTACTATCTTTCCGACATTTGCACATGTGCAGTGTAATGACTCTCGATGCTGATTGGTAATTTGAAGCCATAATACGTCACAGTGTTTCATTGTTGACAAACATACGATACATAGAGGATATTTACTGTGTTTTCTCAAATACCACTTTTATCTCATCTCGTGAAGTGGGGAGAGTCTAATATTTTCACGAGTGACGCAGTCACTCGTGAAAATATTAGACTCTCCCCAATTCACGAGATGAGATAAAAGTGGTATTTGAGAAAACACATTGAATTTTCTATTTATTATATGCATGTTTGATTTTTTTATTACTTGCAATTTATATATTTTTTCGAAAACAGTGTCTGATAAATTACTAAGTTCTCCTTGTCGCCCCTTTACCACCGCCGTATAACGGGGGTTTGCGAAAAGAATATAGTTCGTGAATAAAACTAGCCCTGTAAATATATGTTATGCGAAATATATTATTTCATATCGAGTATTTTTGTTTGTCATAATTAAACATTCCTGTTTAAAATGGATAACTCTTTAATGTTTTGATTCGGGAGAAAGTAGTTCCGGCACCTTGTTTATATCAGTCACTAGTGACTGATATAACTTTTTTATATCAGTCACTAGTGACTGATTACTTGATCTATCGTCACTGATAAATTCCAGTATTTCATTCATATGTATATGATAAAACGTCATCCATTGTTCGTGATGTCACAATTTGATTACATGACGTCATCTAAACACTAGACTGCCTTCAATGACGTAAATCGGTAGGGCTGACATTCCGTACGTTTTTCTATATGTTCTATCTGAAAATGTTAATGAGTAATATACAGAATATCCTACTGGACACTTGCAGTGACGGATTATCTGTCCCTAGTGGTGAGGTGGGGGTTTAACGTCGCGTCCAAAATTATTGCACTTATATAGCGATGTGCATGCACGTGCGCTGTTAGATTGATATTCTCAGTGCCCAGGCAGGGGCTGACTGTGACTGTTCGCTGGGAGAAGTTGTCACACAGATAGTATTCAAAATCAGCCTGGAACTGGCCTTTACCAGTCTATGTAAAGACGGACCAGTCTGTGTAAAGAGGAACCAGTCTATGTAAAGGGGAACCAGTCTTCGTAAAGAGGAACCAGTCTATGTAAAGAAGAACGAGTCTATGTAAATAGGAACCAGTGTGTGAAAAGGGGAACCAGTCTATGTAAAGGGGGACCAGTCTGTGTAAAGAGGAACCAGTGTATGTAAAGAGAAACCAGTCTATGTTAAGAGGAACCGGTGTGTGTAAAGAGGAACCGGTGTGTGTCAAGAGGAACCAGTCTATGTAAAGAGGAACCAAATTGTGTAAAGGGAACCAGTCTATGAAAATGGAACCAGTCTATGTAAAGAGGAACCAGTCTATGTAAAGAGGAACCAGTCTATGTAAAGGGGAATCAGCCTATGTAAAGGGAACCAGTCTATGTAAAGAGGAACCAGTCTATGTAAAGAGGAACCAGTCTATGTAAAGGGGACCAGTTTATGTAAAGAGGAACCAGTCTATGTAAAGGGGAATCAACCTATGAAAAGGGGGCCAGTCTATGTAAAGGGGAACCAGTCTATGTAAAGGGGAATCAGCCTATGTAAAGAGGAACCAGTCTATGTAAAGGGGACCAGTCTATGTAAAGGGGAATCAGCCTATGTAAAGGGAACCAGTCTATGAAAATGGAACCAGTCTATGTAAAGGGGAACCAGTCTATGTACAGGGAACCAGTCTATGTAAAGGGGAACCAGTCTATGTTATAGGGAACCAGTCTATGTAAAGGGGAACCAGTCTTTGTACGGGGAACCAGTCTATGTAAAGGGGAACCAGTCTATGTAAAGTGGAACCAGTCTATGTAAAGGGGAACCAGTCTTTGTAAAGGGAACCAGTCTGCGTAAAGAGGAACCAGTCTATGTAAAGGGGAACCAGTCTATGTAAAGGGAACCAGTCTATGTAAAGGGCACCAGTCTTTGAAAAGGGGAACCAGTCTATGTTAAGGGGAACCAGTCTATGTAAAGTGGAACCAGTCTATGTTATAGGGAACCAGTCTATGTAAAGGGGAACCAGTCTTTGTACGGGGAACCAGTCTATGTAAAGGGGAACCAGTCTATGTAAAGTGGAACCAGTCTATGTAAAGGGGAACCAGTCTTTGTAAAGGGAACCAGTCTGCGTAAAGAGGAACCAGTCTATGTAAAGGGGAACCAGTCTATGTAAAGGGAACCAGTCTATGTAAAGGGCACCAGTCTTTGAAAAGGGGAACCAGTCTATGTTAAGGGGAACCAGTCTATGTAAAGTGGAACCAGTCTATGTAAAGGGAACCAGTCTTTGTAAAGGGAACCAGTCTATGTAAAGGGGAACCAGTCTTTGTCCTAGAGCCGCAATACGCACCGGATACATTCGCCATGCAGTATAACAGATCATCGCAAAGTAAGCTTCGGGAACAACGGTATGGCGTAATCAATCAGTGGGGCTCAGTCTTAAAATTGTCATATTGTATAGGCGTACAATCTCTTATTTCTCAACGAGTGTAGACCATATCATATGTTAAGGATCTTGTGCAAACACGCATACATGTCATAGACTGAATACATGCCCTAAATAACTCTCTCTATATATATATTGGTTTGTTGTAAACATGTGAAGGTAGCTCTCTCTGTAACAATGAGTATTCATTTCATAGATTCCTCTGCATCCCACATTTATTTGATGTGTGAATGGGAGAGGATTGACATTGTGACATACATACTCTGTAAACTGACATCCTGGGTGGTATGGCCTGTGCATTGTGTGCGTCAACAGGCACAGGACTGAAGAATAGGCGTACAGGAAATTACAGCAGATCAATAAGCATTCTAAGCGTTAACATATCAGGTTTATATGAAACAGTAAACACGATGATAACGATACTAAATAATCCTAACGGATTATGAGTATTGCTTTGTGAAAATTACATTTAGATGGTGTATACGTAATATATATATATATATATATATATATATATATATATATATATATATATATTCCATTTGGCTTATTGTTTACAGCATACATTTTGTCTTATTTAATACAATACTGTATCATATTCATTTAGCGTTAGTAATCTGCTAGAATTTTATATTTACTAATTTTAGCGAGTAACCAAGGTTCGCATTTGTTTATTTAGTTTCTTTATAGAGGGTTTTTTGTATCCAAGAAAAATTCAAAAATAATAAATTAGATCTGCACTCAAGGTGCATCTATTTGTGGTAAATTATTAAAATGAAAAAATGATATTTTGAAATCAATGGAGCATTCTAAACAATATGTAGCGACAAATAATATTATCAACAGTAAAAATAAATAAATTCATATCCATTTGTGACATTTTATACTTACCAGGACAATACGCAATCCTCACACCCAAGCGACGCTGATCCTGGTTAGACAAAGAGATCACATACATTGGAATAGAAGGAGGGTCTGTGGCTTGGACGGTGAGTCAGCCACAAAAAAAGGGTAGAAGGGGTATAATACCTTTCCTGGACCTACCAAAGTAGATTAGGTTAAAGCTCTATGCCAGCTTATCTGAATGATGTGATTTTCCTTGTTAAATCAGCTGGATTTAATATCACCCGTTGAGTAGAAAAGGGCGAATGCATTTAGCAAATAACCTGGATTTCCTGATTGACCAGTTTATAAACGCTTGAACAAGTTACGACATGCGACCGTTCTTACTTGGACGTTTGTAGATGAAGGAGTAAAGATTGACGTAACCTTTTTCCACATCTGTTCTATTGCGTCGTCTCCGTTAAAGGGACTCTTCCAGCTCAGGACCGCATGGCAACTGTGTGATAAAACAAAAGTACGTATACGTGTTGAGTTTAATTTAAACCAATAAAACGACAGACTATGAGTGAAGTGGGGTTTAACGTCATAATGACAAGTATTGCACTTATTTTGCGACGGGTATGCACGCGTGTGTTTGTGTGCGTGCGAGCGTGCGAGCGTGCGTGCGTGTTTAACGCAGGATAACATTCAGACATACCAATTTCTCCAGTAACCACGAAATAGTATGCGTGAGACGCGTAGTGTGCTTCCCACTCGGCCAATAACATGTGTAAAAGGTAACACTCTCATTTATGAAAAAGAACTGAAGAAGGTGTTAAAAGGTGTACACACATATGAGTAATCCCACCCCGACTTTACAGGATATTCATAAGAGTGAATCACGTGATGGAGATATTTCGAGGATCTGGTGATTCCAGGTCCGCATTCTACTTCCGGAACCAACATATTCCAGTTATTTCTAGACGTCAACTATGGTGTGGTTCATGTATAATGTCCCTTCATTTTGCATACTGCCCTATAGTTGTGTCAGATTTACTCGTTTGAAATGCACGTTGACAATGGCTACTGAATACCTGGTTCAGCTGCAAGAACAATATCGCGACGTCATAATGTTTTCATTTGGGTTTAACGCCGCTTCCAACAATTGATACGATCAACCAAGTCGCAGAGTCAGACCAACTGATCGAATTTTTTCATTCCTCACTACACGCAATACAGTGCTGGTGACATATTTCAAGTCGGGTCAACGCGAGGCCATGCAGTTATATCTGGCTAACTAATTAAGGCTGTACATCGCACCCATTGATCCTGGACGATCTCTTTGTACGTCACCATTCAGTGGGGCATGTACTCCGAACTAAACAGCCAATTCATGCCGTAAAGCCGACTATGCTTGTCGCAAGGGGCGAATAACGGGATCAGGTGGTCAGGCTCGCTGACTTGGCTGATGCATGTCATCGTATCTCAATTGCGTAGATCAATGCTTATGATGTCAATCACTGGATTGTCTGGTCCAGACTCGATTATTTACAGACCGTCGCCATAGAGCTGGAATATTGCTGAGTGTGTTGCGTTAAACAACAAACAAACATAACCTGAACTATTCTGTTTCATAATACTCTCAGTCTATTTTGTAGAAGAGCCTGTCCCATAACTTGATGCTAGTTGTAACCATCTGGGCCTGAGATTGATTTTTTTTTAATATAGCAGCCTACTGAACTTGATGCATCTGTATTGTAGTTCTCATACTGATTTAGAAATCACTTGTTATTGTGAAATTAATCTGTCTAAATAACAGTGTCTATTCATGCACTGTCTGTTAATATAAACGGAATTTCAAACTTTACATCGAAAGTGCTTTACTTTTCAACAACACATTATACACCCCACAAACGTTTTCACTTTGTTAGCAAAGATGAACATAAAATTGGAGTATAGCGTTTTGCCCGCTCCCATTACCGATATTTAGAAAATGTTAAATGATTCTCTGGTTCACTCCCAAAACTTCTACATGCCAAAACTTCTACATGCCAAAACATCTACAGAGAGTTGTCATGGCTGATTGAGTTTACCTATTGTTATAATCGTATATCCCTCCTGTAATTAAGAAGACTCATCAGCTTCTTTACGATGTTGTTTTAGAAAGGCAAGGAAGGGTACTTTGGGAAGATTAAATAGTTACAGATGTACCTGATGAAAAAGATAAAGAAGATTATAATAAAGTCCTGTCAACTGGGTTGACGATGATGCTCGGTTTCTAATACCTCTGTGGAATCACCACCAGACAGCCGGCCCTCGCACCAACAACAATCTTGAGGGATTTCACCATCGCCTTAACAGAACCTTACCCCACCGCCACCCGAATATCTACCGATTTGTAGAAGTGATTAAGAAGATTGAGTGTGCAGACAGGACACAAATCGCAAAGTAAGACTTTGGTGCCGCCCCACCCAGAAGGAAGCGAGTTTACAGAGAGACTGAAAATCGCCTGAGACGTCTTAAGGACATGTTGACTCAAGGACAGAAAACCCCTATCGAGTTCCTTGATGCTGTTGGTCATCTTCTCAAACTTGGTAAAGAGACTTGAAATATAGTAAGTGAGGCCATTTGTGACATTGAATTAGTGTGTGTACTATTTATTTGTACCAGTGCTATATGAGTAAATTGTCTTCAAATTGTTTTGTTTTGTTGTATGTTGTACACTTAATTAATTGGACTGTTCCAATCAATGACCAACAGGTAATAGCCAGGAGATTAGTGGTGCAGTGGACCATAAACTTTGTTGTTTTAAGCTGTAGAAGTTTTGGCATGTAGAAGTTTTGGAAGGACACCGATTCTCTTGTGGATAGCTGGGTAGGCACCGTGACGTAAGGCAATAATCAGAGCGTCAAGGTGAAGGTCAGACAGTGTCCTCGCGTTGCCTGGACCTGACCTAGATACAGGCGAATCTGACACCCGCCATAGATTACACAGGTCGGGTCGGAGGTAAGAATTAGGAAAACAAAGGTCACAAAAAGACATTTATGTAACACTCTAATCCAGAGGTTGAGGGGTTTGAGGAACGTTTATAATTGTAAGGAAAATGGATGCGTTCAGGTAAAGTCATGAAAGCGTAAATAACTGAAGATACTGACTAAAGCATTATACTGCGTCTCTTGAATAGTAGGTGAGGTGAGGTGAACGTCGCGTCCAAGATTATTTTGCACTTATATAGCGACGTGCATGTACGTGTGTGTGTGTTTGTGTAGCTGCTTGTCCGGACTGATGCCGATTTAAAGTACTAGCACACTGAGATACCATGCCGTATTTTATCATGAATACCCCACTCAGACTCAGTATACTGACTCCGAGCCGACCAGTCCTTGTTTAACCCCTTAATGCAGAGCGCCAGACAGGGTAACAACAAGTACCATCTTTTAACGTCTTTTGGTACAGCCTTATGTCATGTCACACATTAAACACCAACGCATTAATACAGCCTTGTGACGTCACACATCAGACACCAACGCAGTAATACAGCCTTATGTCATGTCACACATGAAACACCAACGAATTTATACAGCCTTGTGTCGTCACACACCGGACACCAATGTATTAATACAGCCTTATGTCATGTCACACATTAAACACCAACGCATTAATACAGCCTTGTGACGTCACACATCAGACACCAACGCATTAATACAGCCTTGTGACGTCACACATCAGACACCAACGCATTAATACAGCCTTATGTCATGTCACACATGAAACACCAACGCAGTAATACAGCCTTTTTTCATGTCACACATTTTAAATACCAACGCATTAATACAGCCTTGTGACGTCACACATCAGACAACAACGCATTAATACAGCCTTATGTCATGTCACACATTAAATACCAACGCATTAATACAGCCTTGTGACGTCACACACCAGACACCCACGTATTAATACAGCCTTATGTCATGTCACACATTAAACACCAACGCATTAATACAGCCTTATGTCATGTCACACATTAAACACCAACGCATTAATACAGCCTTGTGACGTCACACATCAGACACCAACGCATTAATACAGCCTTATGTCATGTCACACATTTAACACCAACGCATTAATACAGCCTTGTGACGTCACACATTAAATACCAACGCATTTATACAGCCTTGTGACGTCACACACCAGACACTAACGTATTAATACAGCCTTATGTCATGTCACACCTTAAACACCAACGCATTAATACAGCCTTGTGACGTCACACATCAGATACCAACGTATTAATACAGCCTTATGTCATGTCACACATTCAACACCAACGCATTAATACAGCCTTGTGACGTCACACATCAGACACCAACGCAGTAATACAGCCTTATGTCATGTCACACATTAAACACCAACGCATAAATACAGCCTTGTGACGTCACACATTAAATACCAACGCATTTATACAGCCTTGTGACGTCACACACCAGACACTAACGTATTAATACAGCCTTATGTCATGTCACACCTTAAACACCAACGCATTAATACAGCCTTGTGACGTCACACATCAGATACCAACGTATTAATACAGCCTTATGTCATGTCACACATTCAACACCAACGCATTAATACAGCCTTGTGACGTCACACATCAGACACCAACGCAGTAATACAGCCTTTTGTCATGTCACACATTTTAAATACCAACGCATTAATACAGCCTTGTGACGTCACACATCAGACAACAACGCATTAATACAGCCTTATGTCATGTCACACATTAAATACCAACGCATTAATACAGCCTTGTGACGTCACACACCAGACACCAACGTATTAATACAGCCTTATGTCATGTCACACATTAAACACCAACGCATTAATACAGCCTGATGTCATGTCACACATTAAACACCAACGCATTAAAACAGCCTTGTGACGTCACACATCAGACACCAACGCATTAATACAGCCTTATGTCATGTCACACATTAAACACCAACGCATTAAAACAGCCTTGTGACGTCACACACCAGACACCAACGTATTAATACAGCCTTATGTCATGTCACACATTAAACACCAACGCATTAATACAGCCTTATGTCATGTCACACATTAAACACCAACGCATTAATACAGCCTTATGTCATGTCGCAGAAAACGCACTACACATTCGAGCGGTGGGGTAGTCTTGTGGTAAAGACGTTGCTCGTCACGCTGAAGACCCGAGTTCGATTCCCCACATGGGTACAATGTGTAAAGCCTATTTCTGGTGTCCCCCGCCGTGATATTTCTGGTATATTGCTAAAATCAGCGTAAAACCATTCTCTCTTGCTCACGTACCTCGCATGAGAAATATTCCAGTTCCAGTCTCTGGTGTTGACATTTCACAACGGTTGTGGGACAATCTAGCATTCATTTTGTACCTCGATTTGCAAAAAGCATAAGTGACAAAAATAATTTTGGATGCAAATCCATATTTTGACTTCTATCATATGTTACCTTGTTCGTTCAGGTAAACATTTGACGTGTGACGTATTTGTGATGGGTGCCACCGGTGGGGCAGGATACGCTCACCTTTTCGCGAACACCTGCTATCATCACTAATTGATGGTGATTCATAAACACATGCTTATGACACAGTCGGATGCGTACAAAGAACCCTGCTTTCACCAGACAGGTCTTATGATTAGGGGGGTGCTGTCGGGTAGCCTAGTGGTTAAAGCGTCCGCTCGTCACGCCGAAGACCCGGGTTCGATTCCCGACATGGGTACAATGTGTGAAGCCCATTTCGGGTGTCCCCCGCAGTGATATTCCTGGAATATTGCTAAAAGCGGCGTAAAATCATACTCACTCATTATGATTAGAGAAGTGGTTTTGTCAAAATGTGGACACCATGTCCATGTATAGAATACAGAATACATACTGTGTAAGCCTACTGGTGCCAGGTGATGGTTTATACCACTCCTGTCGCAGTGTAACGGTAGACTCCCTGCGTGTAAATGGCTGCCTGGCTTTTCCCGGGGTTTTTTTTCAGTGCGAAGTCCAATAACGGTAATTTATGATAGGGTAACAGGTGCTTCAGGTATGTTTTCCACGATAGACATAAGTAATACAAGTCTGTTTCCGGGTCACATATGGTCAGATTACAGCACGTATACTGGTCTGTGTGTGTGTGTATCTAAGTGGAAGATGGCCTCACAAGTTGACCCTTTACACAATGGTTTTCTTAAAACATTGTGGAAATTGGCGTGACTCTCTGACGTTTTAGGCAATGGTTTTCTTAAAACATTGTGGAAATTGGCGTGACTCTCTGACGTTTTAGGCAATGGCTTTCTTGAATCAGTAACTTGCGTTTAACATTAGGCGGGTACATACTACAGGGGGTGATCGCATGGGGAACCATTCATGACGCCGAGTTACGATGTCGCGCAATCAACCTGGTAAAACCTTCCACCCCTGTTGTTATTATGGACTGCACCGACTTTGCAGATCCGTGTCAGGTCGCGACTGTTTATACATTTTGGTTGAAATGGCCATGGACACGATTTGATACTATCCATATTAACTGCACAAAACAAATGTTATTAGTGTAGGTTGTAATTCAAATGAATAAATTGAAAGTAAAGTCTTTATCTCTGAGAGAATGAGTTTAACCCCACTTTGAACAGATTCCAGTTGTATCACGGCGTGGCAGTCGTCTAAGGTGCAGAGTTGTGTCCCTTGGGCCGGTTCGACCTGATGACGTTTCTAGGTTTGTCAGCACCAAATCCGTACTCGGGATCCCTTCGATTGCTTCGGGCTTTCCTCCCAAATATGCTAACACGCCGTTATATAACTGAAATATTCTTCAAACCGGCGCTAAATCCTACTCACTCTCTGTGATATGGGCACTTACTTTCATTCTTTTCATATCAATTACAACGAACAGTAATAGCATTTGTTTTGTACAGTTTTTGTTGATTGTACTGATATTATTCGTTAAATCTTGTCCATGGCCATATGGACCCAAATGTATCTGCCCTTGGCAGCCTAATTGGTTTAACCAACTTAAGAAGATAGTCACGACCTGACAATTGAACCCCCCTTTTCATTATTCCTTAGGACCGCCTCCGTGGTCTAGTGGTAGAGCATACGCCCGGCATCAGTCCGGACTAGTACAAGCAAACGCACGCACGCACGCACGCACGCACACACACACGTGCATTTACTTCCCTATGTAAGTCCAATAATCTTGCACGCGACGTTAAACCCCATTTCACCTCACTTACTTTCTTGTCAGCCTGTATAAATACAGACATATAAAATAAGCTGTGTGCAGCTACAATGGAAGATAAGACATTTGCCTGCTACAGCGATGACGCGTTAAAAGGCGGTGTGAGTGGTGAATGTGTTTCTATGTGTTTTGTACGCTACAATGAACAAGATAACGACTTTATCTCGGCAGCGATTATCCACGCCGGGCATGGCTTAAATCTGTGTAATATATCCATCATATATAATCAAAAGACGAAAGTATGCCAATCTATTTTTAAAAATTATATTTTAAACTATATGTGAATTTCATCTATTGAAGTTTGTTTTTTATGACTTGAATGCTGATACATCCTTGCTAAATGTAGCCTAGTTTAAATCTATAAAAGAAGAGACGTTTAAGATATATTAAACCCAAAGCTGTTAAAATACGATTTGATTTAAAACGTTAAAAAAATAATATAAATAATTTTCGCACAAAACACTGCTTGCTGGTATCCTAGAATCTTTTCTTTGAAAATCCATAAATTTGCTTTTTACAACATTTTTAAAACTTAGAAGGGACCAAGTGGTTGCAAATTCATTTCTTACCCCAGTCTTAATTGAACCAATTTTTTTTTTACACAAAAGTATCCAGTCACAGACAACTCTTTTACAATTTTACAAACAGTTGCAGGAATGAGTGATGGTACAAGAGACATAATCCAATTTAATGACAATGCTTTAAATTTTCAATTATCTAAAAACAAACCCGTTATACATCTTTTGCCCTCACTGCATTAAACATTTTCAAATAACGGAAATTCTGACGGACATCATTCCATCATGGGCCGTCGTAGACGAGGGCGATTATTACATGACCGGGCCGTGGGGTAGTCTCGTGGTTAAAGTGTTCGCACGTCACGCAGAAGGCCCGGGTTCGATTCCCAACATGGGTACAATGAGAGAGCCCATTTCTGGTGTCCCCTGGAATATTTCTGGAATATTGCGAAAAGCGGCGTAAAACCTCCCTCTCTCTCGCGAACGACAATCAAAGATGCAGGTTAGAGCCAAGCGTGAGGCACACATTCAAAATAGAAGTGAGTGATTGAGTATGGTTTTACGACGGTTTTAGCAATATTCCAGCAATATCACGGCCGCGAACACCAGAAATGGGCTTCACACATTGAACCCATGTCGGGAATCGAACCCGGGTCTTCAGCGTGACGAGCGAACGCTTTAACCACTAGGCTACCCGTCCGCTGTCAAAATAGAAGTAATTCCATCAATTCCAAGTGTACATCATAGAAATGTGCATCCAAAATAACGAATGTGTGAATAATTGACATGCAACAATCCATTCCTGAAAAATAATTAAGGCTTTCAAACAGACGAGCGGACCTGTGACAGTCGGATGCCGTATCGGCGTATGACAAGATGATGGAACGGTGATCGACGGGGTTGGTTAACCGGTTCTGTTGCAGGTTTTATATTGAATCTCTGGTTAATTTCTGCTTCCAAGAATCGGCGTGTACACCTGTTTTGAGACAGCAGGCGTTCCACGTGCAATGGGAGAGGCCATTTCCACTGAGCAGGGATTGTCGCGGAGTTCATTCTCTGCGGCTCGGCACAAACATAATGTATTTTCCATTCATTTAATTTCAATGCATAAAATGTCCATACTGCTAAACAAACTAAGGAAACATCGCCATGAACACTAGGTTTTGGAACAAAATGAACGGAAGAATCTAGTTCCAGGAAAATGCGGTAGAGTCTGACGCGGGGCACGTGCAGTCCATGCTCAACGTGTATTCGTCTATGCTGGACATACACGCGGAAGCACATTCATAAATTTCCATTCATTCTATTTCACTGCATAAAACACTAGCGGTACCTTTCAATTGTGAAGTCGTAGCATCGTGGTTGCGCCTGACACCTGCAAGGCAAACACAACCGACTGGTCTACGAGCAAACCTTCCACCCCTGTTGTTGTTATCGACTGCACCGACTGTGCAGATATGTGTCAAGTCGTGACTGTTTTCTTAAGTTGGTTAAGCCAGTTAGGACACATACATTTGGGTCCAAATGGCCATCGACACGATTTGGTACTGTCCATAATAAATGTACAAAACAAATGCTATTAGTGTAGGTTGTAATTCAAATGAATAAATTGAAAGTAAAGTGTCTTTATCACTGGGTGAATGCGTTTAACCCCACTTTGAACAGATTCCAGTTGTATCACGGCGTGTCAGTTTGATGTGGGGGGAAAGCCCGAAGTGATGCAGGTCTGAGAGGTTTATCACTTTGGTCAAACCCACGAGCACGGGTATGGTGGTGACAAACTTAGGCCTGGGCGAACCGGGATTCAAACCCACGATCATAGGTGTCTGGCGTGCCCAAGGGACGCAACTCCACACAGTTAATTGCGTCGCCTTAGACGACTAGGCTACCCGCTAGGAACAGACATGTTTGCATAAAAACACTCCCCCCAATACATAACATGCCTTTCTGCAACGATCACGTTTTCGTCAGTACAAAGGTCGATATGTACAAAACGTCTTAAACATATTTCATAATGAAAGAAAAATAATCAAAAGAAAACCAACCAAAGCGTCTTCCTTCTTGAGCTTGGCACACTGTTCGTGATCTTCTCAGCTGATCGAGGTGTGTCCACATGAAACGTTCACCCTAGTTTGAAGCCATATGTCACGTTCGTTAAGACTACACTCGTCTTGCTTGGATGACTATTCATTCAGTTGTATGATATCACGAACCACGTTCAATACATTAGTCGTATGTCTATCAACCAAGTGCAGTCATGTGCTCCGACAGCCTTGACGTGACATAGCATATTGGCTCAGGTCGTGATTCTTCTTGTTTGTTTGGTGGTAAGTATGCTAGGCAGTTACGTTGATGTATAAATACACATTCCCAATCCAAAAGACTCCCGTTCAGCAACTATCATATTTCCGGAATTCAAAGTGCAAATCTGGATATATGTGACAATACACTGTGTGATTTTCTCATCATGACGTGTATTTTCTATGTAAAACACTTTCACTTTTTGGAAGCCACTCACTCGGGGAGGTTGATTTGCTTGGCTGAATATTTATTCAGTTGTAATATATCACGAACAATGTTTCATACATATGACGATGTTAGCCGATGTTGTCCGATAGTCAGGACACGACATGTAGGCCAATATATAAACTGTGGGATTCCATCGCGGCTGTCAGCTGTATGACTATGTGACTTAATAGAAACCGTCCACGTTTCCCATCATGTGCTGCATGTTATTTCTTTTGTGAACACAGCGAAAATAAATTCCGTATCTCCCAAGGAAAAATTAAATTGCGCGTATACTGAAATGTTCCGTGTCGCATGACCTGTGCAATAATACTCGTGGCGCATAAAGGGATGTTAACAAAAAAACATTGCGGCTTCAGGAGAGAGAGGATCACAACAAAATCTGTTAAGACGTCTCATGTTCAGATACTAGGTTCCCGGATCCGCCTTTCTATTTAGTCTCGCGGTCTGTAACTTTGTTTGTTGGTTTGTTGTTTAACGCCGCACTCAGCAATATTCCAACTATATGATGGCGATCTGTAAATAGTCGAGTCTGGAGCAGACAATCCAGTGATTGACGCCATGAGCATCGGTCTACGCAGTTAGGATACGATGACATGAATCAACCTGCCCGATGTCACCGAACCTGACCTCCCGATCCCGTTAGTCGCCTCTTACGACAAGCATGGGTTGCTTAAGACCTATTTGGTTTGGTTGGTGTGTTGCTTTGCGCCGCACTCAGCAATATTCCAGCTATATGACGGCGGTCTGTAATTAATCGTGTAAAACAACAGCCAAGCCAACAGTAAATAAATAAAGATAAAGATAAATAAAGATACACACAAAGGAGATTGTCACACCTCCTTGTCAGAATGACGTGATCTGATTGGTTCACGTGACCTTGATAAAATACGATGTATCCCGCCATGGAGGGAAACAAATTTCTCAGCGGCTGAATAAATCTCTTATACCCCGTGTGGGAATCGAACCCGGCCTATGGCGTGACCTGCAAAAACTTTTCCTCCGAGGCTTCCCTACGGCCGAAGTGATCTGGGTTTTGAAACGTATTTCAGCAAAGTCACTGCGTGTTATTTTAATACTGGAGGAACGTCGAACGCTCAGGTCACACATGCCACATGGGTAGAACCCACGGGCACATCTATGGTGCTGACAAATCAAATGTAGAATCCTGTCACGACTAAGGGACACAACTCTTGTCAGCGCTTGTGGGCGCCTCAGTTCACATGCCATACATTCTTGCCCATGTGTTAAAATGAACGTCTGTAACTGTTAGGGAGTAGTTCAAAAGTTTGATGTCAGATACAAAATATGAATTTCTAAAGTTTTGAGACATACCCCCGCTTCCAACCCTAATACTTGATAATGGAAGTGTTTTAAATATCATAATATCCTGCATAAATGTTACCAAAACAAATGTAAGCAGAACCTGTCGAGTTACACGAACATGTTTGCTGTTTGTTTGTTGTTTAACGCCGCACTCACCAATATTCCAGCAGCTATATATGACGGCGGTCCGTATCTTGATTGACAGCGACAGTCTACAGCAATCTATGAATTTACTTTAGTATCTTGTTTACACATCTTTACAATCACCTTTCAATGATCAGCCAATTGATCAATGATGACCAACACATGTGAGGTCCGGAGAGCGGAAGGTCGGGGGTTCGATCCCCGGCCGCGTCATACCAAAAGACATTAAAAGATGGTACTTGTTGTTACCTGGCCTGGCGCACGGCTTTACGGGCCTAAAACAAGGACTGGTCGGCTCGAAGTCAGTATATAGTGTGTCTGAGTGGGGTATTCATGTTACACTGCCTCATGGTATCTCAGTGGGCGAGCACTAAAAAATCGGCATTAGTCCGGACTAGTACAAGAACACACACACACACACACGCGCGCACACACACACGCACACACACACACACGTGCAATAGTCTTGAACGCGACGGTAAACCCCATTGCACCTTGCCTTATTAAAGGGTCTCGTTCAAATTACTAAATTGATATAGAGAGACTACATCCTTGACATACAGTCTCAGTCCGAGAGAGGGTTCTCGACGTTTCGTCTATAACCTAGCCTATAACCTTTGATTTATAGCCTTTAACCCGTGAAGATCCGACAGAATTGATGCGGGTCCTCATCAACTCATGCTTGTGGTAAGAGGCGAATAACGGGATCTGGTCGCCAGGCTCGCTGTCTTACTCATGTTAATGAAAATATGTTTAAAAAAACGAACATATTTGAAGCTTCGATCGTGTGTAAATATGGATATCATTAATAATATCGTTCTTTTTTCAGTAAATCGTGCATTTAGCAATATGACATATAACACAGCGTTATCAATGAATAGATTCACATGTACATAGTGAGTGAGTGAGTGAGTATTGCTTTACGCCGTCTTTAGCAATATTCCAGCAATATCATGGCGGGGGACACCAGAAATGGGCTTCACACATTGTACCCATGTCGGGAATCGAACCCGGGTCTTCGGCGTGACGAGCGAACGCTTTAACCACTAGGCTACCCGACCGGCCCCACATGCACCTAGATAGAAATGGGACGGATGTCGCATTATAACATGAGCAAATAAGCGGGATGCACGCATTGGACCTCCCGCTTATATTTCAACTAGACGCATTGTACAAACAAGCGTCCCCCTTTCCATAAAAATAACATAGATGATAAAGCGCTCTACGGGGATCGTCAGTATCCGGGTATATCCATTGTGTTGTAAATAAAGGTTACAGCGCTGTTGTTTAAAGGTAAAAAGCAGATAGAAGGCTGATCATTGATACTCCCAATTTCACAATTTCCGTGCAACATGAGTCATCATGAGATGACATATCCCCCTGGTCTGATGCAGTTCGGAAAGGATGTTTGGCTACTCATACCCCACTTTGGGGCATTGCCATTGGATACCTTTGTCAAACGTGTTCTTGATAGAGTTTGGGCAAGTAAACAACATGATTCAGCTTAAAAACCACAATACAAATTATTGCGACAGGCATCTTACCGAGGGAAGGGCGTTAACTGACTTCAAACAAAATGGCGTAACCTGCAAGAAGACTCGTCCCCCTATCGATGAATGTTATGTGCGAAAATAAGACAACCAATCAGAATGCCCGTAGGAAAGGTCAAAGAATCCCATCTCAGGAATATTTTTTTGATTTTACACATGTCTTGCATTTAAAAATACACCCAAGATACAGTTAAATGTGTTCAATCATACTGTATAATACTGTAAGTCCCGGTGTGTCCCCTATAGCATCTGTAACGTATATGATCATTCGTCACCACTCGCCCCTTTCCGTAACCAGCTGTAAGACGACTCGTCCCTCTATCGATGAATGTTATGTGCGAAAATACGACAAACCAATCAGAATGCGTGTATGATTTGAAGTTCTTCGTCAAAGAATCCCTCAGAAATAATTTTTGATTTTACATATGTCTTGCGTCTAAAAATATACCCAAGACACAGTTAAATGTGTTCAATCATACTGTATAATTCCGCATGTCCCGATGTGCTTTAAATTGCATCTGAAATATATATAATCTACGGGGAAATATATGTGAACCATTACGCAACGAGTTGACAATTGTTTTAGGTATGCCCATTTGCGCTAAGACGGAACCCGGTTGCCAAAATGGCCATGAGAGGGGCACGAGTCGCTATTCGGCTTGTCCCGGAATAACACGAGTAGGTCACGAATGCGTATGTGATATATGACGCAATTATACGTGAATCATGACGCAACGAGTTGACAATTCTTTTACCTATGCCCGTTTGCGCTTAGACGGAACCCAGTCGCAAAAATGGCCACGAGAAGGGCACAAATCTATTCGGCTTGTCCCGGAATAACACGAGTTGGTCACGAATGAGTCAAGACGATCTATAATAAGACGGATCTTACTGAGCGAAGTACATCAAATCACTTGAGCACCTTGATTACAAACATGAAGAGATTTGCAAAATATCTGTCAAGGCCCAGTTGGCGGTTAACATGTTTTGCAAAGCCTGCAGTCGACCGAAATCTGCACGTTGAAATCCATGTAGCCTGCGAACCGGATGTCTAATTCGTCACGCGATTCTCATTGGACTATGCATAGACTCGTTTATCCAGTCAAAATGTAACTCCGGAATCCCAGCCTTAACTGAACGGCAAAAGAAACTTTGCACCATGATGAGATTGAAGTGGCTGTAATAAATACACACAAAAGATAACAAAAGTTTGAATTAAAGTATATTTGATAAACCAACAATTCCACAAAGTATTGCACAACTGATCAAACGTGACATTTTGCGGTTAAATTTGTACACCAGACAAACAAAATCAGTGGGAGTTAAAAATGCAGTTGTCCAGATTTTTACTGCAATTCATTCAAACTGTGAAAGTTTGTTCCGGTCACAGAAACAAAACTTGTCACTTGAATACCGAATGTGGCCACCCCGTGCCTCCATACATGCAAAAACTCTGCGTCGGACGAAAAACGTCAAACGTCTGATGAGGTCACGTGGCAAGTGGTTCCATTCATCACGTTGAGCTTGTATCAACTATTGTCTGTTGGCGGGAGGGCGTGGTCGGACACTAACTCGCCTGTCCACGACGTCCCAGAGGTGTTAGATGGGGGATAAGTCGAACATGCCGGCCACGGTAAGACGTCGACTGCGATACGAGCTGTGTGGGGCCTGGCGTTGTCGTGTTGGTACAGACCACATCGGGGTTGTTGCTGGAGGTAGGGCAGCACTTCTGGACGGAGGATGTCATCTCTATAGTGTTGCGTTGTCTTGTCTCCACAGATTCCACGATTCCCCCCCCCCCCCCCCCCCCCCCCCCTCCAGGCTCGCTGACTTGGTTGATGATGCATGTCATCGATCCCAATTGCGTGGATCGATGCTTATGATATCAATCACTGGATTGCCTGGTCCAGACTCGATTATTTACAGACCGTCGACATATAGCTGGAATATTGCTCAGTGCGGCGTTAAACATAAAATCAAATCAAACCCTTTCTGACATCAACACTAAACAAACAGAACCTGCTTACGTCAGTAAAGACCACGTGTTGCCAATCCCGACGCTGCCACCGTCGCATTGTATTAGCCCATCGTATTCGTCCGCGTCGATGTTCAGGGGTCCACATCTGTTCTCTGAACGGTCGGCAGGCCCTGACACCTGCTGCCCGAAGTCTTCTGGTCACTGTGTGTGTGCTCACCCGCCGACCCAAGGCATTCACTGCCGATGACG